ATCTTGCACTGCAATTCATCGAAAGGCATGATAGTATCAACTTGAAGACTCAATCAGATGAATACTGTATAAATAATACATCTGTCAGAATGTTATGTATTTTTGTAGTGTAATCATATTATATTTTTTGATATAGAATTCTACTTAAGCCATTGCCAAGGAGCATGGCCTGTCATTATGGCTCAATGCTCAAGCTCCATCAAACCAATCATTAAGCATTTTCAATGTTTGCTGCACTGGATGAACCTTACTATTTCATCTCAATGATAACAAGATTACTATAACACCACCTTGTTTGTAGAATTGATTATTATAATTATTATTATGAAGGGTTATTTGGCACCTGAGTATTACACCTGCTATTTCCTTGTTACATGGTCACCCTGATTAGTCACATCACATATCTACACTTGTACTCTATACAACCTCTTGTTACAATAAGTTACCATCATTGTTACATGTTTCCATGGTAACTAATTACGTTATTGTTATATTTTCTAAGAAATCATTAAAGCTACATGATGTCTCTGACATTTAAGACACCAGCGGGCTGGAAACATTCTTAACTAAGTGAATGATTGTTTTTTAATGTCGCCCATACTGTGAATTTTCATTTATCACAAAAGTAAATCAAAGGACATCTCTGTTATCAAATCACAGGGTTTAACTAACAAAGTCCCTAATACTAGCAATAATAGGAAAACAATTCAAGAACATCAGATAGGTTAACAGATCATAGCAAAACGTTCAGAGTAACATATCATTCCAGAATTAGTTGTCATTTATTAAACATAAAAAAAGTGAAGGCAAAGTCACAAAATAATTTTTAGGTTTTGTTCACAACTTAATGCTAATGATGATTTCACTATTGAACATGTAAAAACAAAATAAATGTGTATAATGTTCAAGATCTTAACAACAATATAGAAAGGAGAAATATTACTTTTTTTAAGAAATAATTATGGTATTAGTATTATGGGAAGAAAAAATCAATGTTTCATTGTGAACTAATGAATGTTTGTTCTTGGTAATTCTCTTGACTTTTATCTTAAAAAGCTCCCTGTAAATTCTTAATTAACTCGCGTGACAATTCAACATAAAAGTCACACATGATGATGTAAAGTAAACCCTCAACAGAAGTTTGTTACTAAGAACAAACCTAGAATTACAATAAACAAAGTTGGGATTTTTTTAAGTCGTAAATATTCCATGATAGTTAAAAAAAATTATCTATAACACCTATAATTTAAAATCAACATACAATATGACAATCATATACACAAGTAATCAAATAACAATCCAATTTTATCATTTACCTATGGTTCATGCTAAATCTATCAAAGATTTGTAAAAGTAAAAAATACTATCTGTAAATAGAATCTACTTGTAAATGTGTTAAACTTACCTGTGTTTCTTGGAAGATGATTAAAAAGTTTATATATCCTTCAAAAGTTTAAACCAACCTCTTTTCTTCATAAAGCAATAAAATGTAATGCAACACTTTTAATTCACTAAATCAACACACACACACATACACAACTGTATTAAGTTAGAGACAAAGTCTCCTGTCTTTTTTTCAAATCCAAGTTGTCACAGCATAGGAAAACAACAAAAAGAATACAAAAACACAACTTTAAAATAATCTCAAAGCTTTGTTTTAAAGTTTAATTACTGAACAAAGAGAGTTCAATTTAATCCACAGAGAGTAATAACAGGGTGAACTCTGCAATACAGTTGAGGATACAGTGTGGCTGATTAGAGCGCTCAGTATTACCATGATACTGGGGATAAAACTGCTACATGTAAACACACTGTGTTAGCCGCAGAAAGCACAGTGTGACTGGGGCGGGTGGACTGCCTTATCCACTTGTTTATTATTGGAATTATTGATTTCTCTGAAGCTTGCTGGACTGAAATTTAAGCTCCTGTCTATATAAAATCTCTGATAAAATATGACATATTCTCATGCATTATAATTATTGAAGATACAAAAAGAATAAATAGTAATTTCAGGAAAAAGTCAATAATTCAATAATAATGCATTAAGTTTTGTAGATACTGCATGTTATGTATGTATTATTTCTATTAAATTAGATTTATAGTGAATTGAAAATCGATCTTGATCTGAAGGAATTTTCATGTATCATTATTCTGTGATCAAGAAAAAATTGTAATGTTATAAGTGACCAAAAAAAGTTGAAAACATGAATAATGCATTTACATGTATCAATTGGATAATTTTAAAAGATGTTATCTTTTTGTGTAATTGTTGCTGTTGATCTCTATAAATTGATTTATTTACCTGCTATCTAAAGTACAACTACCATAGCATTAGCATCTGCCTCAATTATCTGTAATTATCACAAATTATCACCAATTATCATGTCATTTACATTATTTATCTGCTCCAGATCTTCTTCAATACAGTTATACAGCACAGCTAAGAGACTTGTAAATAGACTCAAGTTTTTGTCTTGAGCTAGCCATTGTTTTCCATTGGATTATCTGGGGAAAATTCAATTAAGTTTTCTGGAAAGCTGTAATAAATCTTCGCCAATCAATCTGGATTCATTTAGTGCCCAAGATATTGATAAAATGGTTTCAAGTTTCCAGGGTACGGTAATTAATTACAGGAACAGCCAGACTATGTTCTTACTTAAAGGGCTGTAAATATCTGCAGCATGACCTCAAAACACTTAACACTGAAACACTCTACCAGCTGTATCACTATTTTTTATTGTTTTTTTTTTGGTTTTTTTTTGCTTCATGGTCTCAAATTCAGCACAAAAAAAAATTCTTGAATTACTGCAGAGATCCCTGACCCAGCAAGGTGACAAACATAAATTAGCCACAGCAATGCCAGTTTTTGAGATTTTATTTTTGAAAATTTCTATTATTACTTAAAAAAATACAGAGATTTTCCTGCAAAAATGTGTATTAAAGACAGATTATTAAATTAATTTTATTACTGACATGCAGAAATGCCCTCCAACAGCTCAATATCTTATAATGGAACTTGTCTAGAAAGACCAATCTTACACAATGGTAATTGCTTGCATGTAGTCTTTCAAAATAGGTTGTTTTTAAATATAAATGATTAGTTACAAAAACAACAAAAAACATTATCAATGATACCTTTTCTACGTAATGTTTGGCCTTTCATACAGGTTTTACTATATTTATAAACTCTATAAAAGTTTACCATTGCAAACACATCTATTCAAGATATTGAAATATATTCGACTGTTTTGAAAACATATTTTTATGGAAAAAGAAATATTTTTGATATATTTTCAGTGATTGTGTAGCGTGCATGAAAAGTACTGCTTCATACAAAGGGAGACAAAAAATGTTATTCTACATTCTTAGTTTAGTGTTTTCGACAGATGATTATGTTAATCATTGGAAACGGCCACAAAACTTTCAGTTAATTCTCCATGTTAATTGTTTTGTCAAACACATTATCTTAATTACAAAAAAACGAAATATAATGGAGCAACTTTTCCTCTTCTTAAAATAATTAAATATTGTTATTCTCCTGTGTTTTTACACAAACATCAATAAGAGAGAAAAAAGTCAAAATTGAGAAAAAAAATTCTAAATTTTTTGTTCAGCTTAAACTCTTTGTTTCTACAAATATCTTTAAACAGATTCAAGTAACTAAACTTCTTATAACAAGAGCCAGTTGAACCGGCGGATGCTCCCCGACTAGGTTTTGGACACAGAAAAGTATATCTTTTGTAGTTTCAGAGTTATGTCCCAGACAAAGTTCAAAGTGTGATAATTCCAAACTTAGGCAATGCAGAGTTACTGTTCTTTGCACTGCACTTCTACTCAATTAGATCTATCTACCAACTTGCTTGCAAACGTCGTCTCAATATGGTGATCATTTCTGTGAAATAGTTGTTAAATCTGACTTCAAATAACGAAGTTATGGACCAGACACAATTTTCCTTCAAGGTCATGCTGTGACCTTGACCTTCAAGGTAGCGACCAAAATGTTGCGTGTGACATGTCGTCTCAATATGGTGATCATTTCTGTGAAATAGTTGTCAAATCGGACTTCAAATAACGAAGTTATTGGCCAGTCATGATTTTGCTTCAAGGTCATGCTGTGACCTTGACCTTTAAGGTAGCGACCCAAATGTTGCACGCGACATGTGGTCTCAATATGGTGAACATTTCTGTGAATTAGTTGTAAAATTCGACTTCAAATAACAAAGTTATGGGCCAGACACAAATTTGGGACGTACGTATGGACAACCCGGCGACTATATGCTTCTCCGAAATTTTTCGGTGAGCATAATAATTCATGATACATGACAGTAGCTTTCAATGTTTTATATCACATACATACCAAATAATTAAAGGAATAAAAATAGTTAAATAAATCATTTATAACAAAATAAAGCTATGTTTTCTTAGTTTTAAAACTGCTTCTGAACTCATATAAATTTACAAACACCATTCTTGTTGCTTTTTTTTCTAATTGTTCAGTTTTAAGGAACTGCACCACAGTCAAAAAGCATAAGATGTGGGTTTCTTACATATATCAACTGGTGCACATAAAACAAAAAGATGCCAAGAGATATCAAAGAAACATACCCTGAATTATATTAAATATTGCAATATTATTCAATTCTAAAAAGCCCATTGAGTTAAAATTATTAAATTGCATTTCATTTCTGGATCATTTTTCACAATTTAAAATAATTATTTTGAATAATAGAGAGAGCGAATGATCTGAAATGGTTCACATAAGTTGTAGGTCCAGACATACAACAATAGGTCAGTAAGTTTTTAAAAAATATTTCCAGTCCCATCATGCCAAAAAATAAAACCTCAGTGGAGTCCCTTTAACCCTAACTATTTCATGTGGGATGGAGGTAGACTTTAACACTGGAACTGTTCCACCTAAGAGTAAGATGTTTCAAAATCAATTTAATAAAATTCAAACAGCCAAAACAAAAACATGTTAAACATCATTTTTTGACTTTGAAAAACACTTACCACAAACAAACTTTTCATCACAGCAACCATCTTAGCTTAGACAACACATAAAGAAAATCTGAAGAAAATAAATGTAGTAATTATTCAAAATTTCCATTTGAGCAATATATTTTTTTGTATGTGATGGCCATCTGTCAACAGCTCATACCCTTTTTAAATTTTCAAAACTTTACAGAAACACCTTGTTTTCCTGGATATTCACAGTAACAGAAGATGCATAGCCTTTATCCATTACTAGTTAAGTTTAATCAATGCTAATAAAAAGTTTGTCATATACAAGTATTTAATTTGGTTCTAGCAAAACATTTTTTTAGTGCAACTTTTAGTAATGTTGTATTACAAATTATAAAAGTGATACAAAATAGTAAATTCTTAGGTAAGGGTGGATAACACTTTTTTTTAAAAGAAAAACAAGAGGGCCAAGATGGCTGTAGATGGCTCACCTTACCCATCATACTCATCAGAGTAATTACCTAGACAAGCATTCTGACCAAGTTTCATGACAGGTGAGTCAAAAATGTGACCACTAGAGTGTTAACAAGGATTTTCCATATTTGAGCAGTGTGACCTAGTTTTTGACCCCAGGTGACCCATATTCAAACTTGATTTAGAAATCATTAAAACAAACTTTCAAACCAATTTCCAGGATATTTGGATCAAAACAGTAGCCCCTAGAGTCTGAGTGTTAACAAGATTTTTCTATTTATAGCTCCTGTGACCTAGTTTTTCATCCAAGATGACCCATGTTCAAACTCATCAGAGCAATTACCTAGACAATATCCGGACCAAGTTTGATGACAATTGAGTCAAAAATGTGACCACTAGAGTGTTAACAAGGTTTTTCCATATTTGGCAGTGTGACCTAGCTATTGACCCAAGATGACCCATATTCGAACTTGACCTAGAAATCATCGAAACACACTTTCAGACCAATTGCCAGGATATTTGGATCAAAACAGTAGCCACTTAGAGTGTTAACAATATTTTTCTTCTTTTAGCTCCTGGGACCTAGTTTTTCATCCGAGATGACCCATGTTCGAACTCATGCTAGCAATTACCTAGACAAGCATCCTGACAAAGTTTGATGATGATTGAGGCAAAAATATGACCGCTAGAGTGTTAAGTAACAAATGCGGATGGACGACTGACGTCAGACATTCAATGATCCTAAAAGCTAAACAAGAAACATGGCAATGCCATGAAACCAGGTTTTCAATTATCACCATTGTAGATAAATATGTTGTATTTGAAATACAAATACAAGCAACAAACAATGTAACTATGTGCAATGTAAAACATGAATAATGTAGGAGGAATTGCCACTGAAGAAGTGTTCACTATAATATTATGTATAAGGAAAAAAACAAAGGGCCATAATTAGGTCAAAAACTATCCAATCACAAAACCCCGACAATATGTGCCAGGGTGCTTGATGACAAAGCTTCTGTGAAAGTTTGAACAAAATCCGTTGAGAAATGTAGGACAAGTTCAGCACAGAAGAATTTGTTCACTATAATTATATTGATAATTCTGTATAATGAAAAACAAGTTACAAAGTAGACATGAAATAATATATCATATCTTTTTTAAATTACCTCCAAAGATGATATGACCTTTGACTGCCAAATCAAGTTAAAATCATGTAAACAGGATTTTCAATGTTAATGTCACTGTGACCTTGACCTTGGAGCCAGCCATGCGGAACATGCGTTCTGCACGTCATCTTGATGTGGTAAACATTTGTCTGAAGTTTCATCAAAATTCTTCAAAGGGTTGAAGAGTTACAGAGCGGACAGGATTTTCAATGTTAATGAAATCATGTAAACAGGATTTTCAATGTTAATGTCACTGTGACCTTGACCTTGGAGCCAGCCATGCGGAACATGCGTTCTGCACGTCATCTTGATGTGGTAAACATTTGTCTGAAGTTTCATCAAAATTCTTCAAAGGGTTGAAGAGTTACAGAGCGGACAGGATTTTCAATGTTAATGTCACTGTGACCTTGACCTTGGAGCCAGCCATGCGGAACATGCGTTCTGCACGTCATCTTGATGTGGTAAACATTTGTCTGAAGTTTCATCAAAATTCTTCAAAGGGTTGAAGAGTTACAGAGCGGACAGGATTTTCAATGTTAATGTCACTGTGACCTTGACCTTGGAGCCAGCCATGCGGAACATGCGTTCTGCACGTCATCTTGATGTGGTAAACATTTGTCTGAAGTTTCATCAAAATTCTTCAAAGGGTTGAAGAATTACAGAGCGGACAGGATTTTCAATGTTAATGAAATCATGTAAACAGGATTTTCAATGTTAATGTCACTGTGACCTTGACCTTGGAGCCAGCCATGCGGAACATGCGTTCTGCACGTCATCTTGATGTGGTAAACATTTGTCTGAAGTTTCATCAAAATTCTTCAAAGGGTTGAAGAGTTACAGAGCGGACAGGATTTTCAATGTTAATGTCACTGTGACCTTGACCTTGGAGCCAGCCATGCGGAACATGCGTTCTGCACGTCATCTTGATGTGGTAAACATTTGTCTGAAGTTTCATCAAAATTCTTCAAAGGGTTGAAGAGTTACAGAGCGGACAGGATTTTCAATGTTAATGAAATCATGTAAACAGGATTTTCAATGTTAATGTCACTGTGACCTTGACCTTGGAGCCAGCCATGCGGAACATGCGTTCTGCACGTCATCTTGATGTGGTAAACATTTGTCTGAAGTTTCATCAAAATTCTTCAAAGGGTTGAAGAGTTACAGAGCGGACAGGATTTTCAATGTTAATGTCACTGTGACCTTGACCTTGGAGCCAGCCATGCGGAACATGCGTTCTGCACGTCATCTTGATGTGGTAAACATTTGTCTGAAGTTTCATCAAAATTCTTCAAAGGGTTGAAGAGTTACAGAGGCGGACACAATTTCGTTTGACGCCCATCCGCCCATCCGCCCATCTGCCCATCCGCCCATCCGCCCGCCATACCCCAATCTAATAACCAGGATTTTCAAAATTGAAAACCTGGTTAATAAAGAAGAGAAAGTAATGACTAAAAGTAGTCATATCACATTTCCAGGGCTCTTGATCTCTTTTCTGTGTCAATACTAGGCACCATTTCCCTGATGGTACCCTTGTACCCTTAAACATACAAACTTCCCCTCCAATGAAAAACTAACATGAAAGTTAAGTCAGGAAGAAGTTAACTGAACTGTCTATATGCTGAATGCCAATGTAGTTTAACAATGACTGTTCAGTAAAACTACTAGACACTCACATAGTATGTATGAGCAACAAAAATTGTGCAAGTTTCTCCCTACATGGTAAAACAATGTGAATATTTCCGGTCCCAGGTAGGTACAGGTACCACTCTAGAAATTTAAACACTAAAAAATATATGTCAGATCCATAAACATTTCATAAACTCATACAATGGCAACTTAATGTTTTGATGCATACCCACTGTCATAGTAAAGTTGGCTGGCTGTATATTCCAATTACAACCCCTTGAAATTAACTGGCTTTAAAACCACAGGTTGAAGGCAAGAAAACAGGGAATTCTACATTCTGCAGTGATAAGGACTCTTTGTAAACTAAAAGTCTGCCATTACTCATCATGATGAGTGAGTGAAGCCCCTACTTGTACACAAGACATTCAAGAAAGCAAATCATTTATGACATGTGATTCATACCAGATAACTATAATCATATATTCAGCTTTCAGAAACTTCTTTCTACAGGGAAATGAAGCAAGTTATGGGAAGTAGCTCTACTTTTCTTTCTGAATTAGCAATGCAGTTTATTATAAAATGATTTTCCAGCAATATTTTTCTGATCTTTCATGAAATGAAAAACAAGATCAGAAAATGAACATGGGTGCATTATCACAAAAACATGCCTGTCAAAGAAGTATAATGGTCCTGAATTTTGCACAATTTTCCCTCTGAACTCTAAATGTCACCTTTACCTTTAAAACCCCAACTTACAAAAGCTTTGCTAAGTTATATTAAAATCCCTTTAAGGCTTAGCACTTGTATGATATAATTTGCTCCAGACAAGCATTTTCCTATGACCTTCAAATATGGTCTAAAGACTTGATTACTTTTTACTATGGTGAACATCAAGAAATACTAAAATCCCTCTATGCATAGAGAATACCCTGGAGATGAAACAGATAGCACCTGCATCAAAGGTTATAAAGAAATTCTCTGAGCTCAGACTCAGATCTCGGGTATTTGATTGGTCAGATACTGCCACAAAATGTTCACTGACCAATGAAAATCCTTATATTTGAGAAAGATCTCAGAAAAAAGTTTTATAACCTTGAGGCCTGGAGACCACAAGCAATCTCAGTCACCATATCTCTTTTCATTAAAACTGTTTAAACTTCTTTTCAATACAATTAGACCATATTTCCTTGTAACAAATATTGTTTAATTGTTGACTGTCTTAACAATAGCTTTATGATTAAATGCACTTTACCTGGATAATAAACAATGTAATAAATAAAGAAGCCACCTTATGATTACCCAATCCATTCAACATTACATCAACAATTTATATAGGCATATACATATTTATTTTATGATGTTATTTATATTAAAAAATTGCATGTAAAATTACTAAAAATATGTAATTTTACTAAAACCATGTAATCAAGATGCTACTTCCTTGTTCAAATAATGTCCACTGGCACTTAAACTTATTACAACAATTATACAATATTCCCATTTTGCAAAAATAATCACAAATGGTAAACTAGTCTACACACATTGATGGAAAATTTTGTATCAATATATCGAGAGACAAATATCAACGATATATCGATATATTGACTTTGACAGTAGATACAATTAAATACATTTTATTTAAACATGTGTCATAAATTGGGATCATGGTGTTATGCATGTTTGTATTATACATTACAAATACTACAAACTAACAGAAAGTGTTTTTTTCTGTTCTTTTTGTCACTTACATTTGAAAACTGAGTTTAAAGTTCAAGTTAGCCATGAAAACTGGAAAAAGTGACTTCTCTTATTAGGCAAAAAATAGAGTTATACAAATTTTAGCTTGTATCAATATTTAAAAATGTGTATCAATATTGTATCAGATGATGGATATCAAAATATATATAGATATTGCGATAATCAATGACAGCCCTAACAATATCTATTTATTATATAGAATAAAATGGTCAGGATTGAAGACTAGAAATATTTCTCATTAATCTGATCTGGTGAGACAAACTTAATTTGAAATACATAAAGCAGCACTTACACTAATCTCTTGGTTTTCCATTAATTATCACAGATCTGTATTACCATCAATGACCTGAAAGGAATGATGGAAAAATCATGTAACATGTTTGTCATCAAAGCAAAGGTAAAACAACACTACAATACATAATATTACAATGTATATAAAAATTAGATATGATTATCTTTCTTTAGAAATACTGATTTACTTCTCATTTATCATTCCTTGTTTTGCTAATGTATTATAATCATACAAGTTAGCTTTTGAGGGTTTTTTTCTTTCTTTCAAACTTAAAATAATTATGTTGTTTTTTTAACATTGCATGATATTACAGTAGCATATGATAAAATTATACAATAACATCATTGTAAAAAATTATGTCATTATGTATATCATTGTTGAAACACCATGACATTTCCAATACATACACAAAGCAGATATGATAACAATTATCATGATTTGTTTCACCATAATGTATAACAGAGGCAGGGCTCCAGATAATTATTTAGGGCAATGAGTATTTACTCATTGATTTTTTTGTGAATGAGTAAAACTTGAAATCTGAAATTTGGCAGGGGTATTTTTACTCCTTAAAATGTATGTAAAAGAGTAAAACATTTATTATGCTTCCATTTTTATTGCATTATCATACTTGTAATACAAGATATGTCAAAGTCATTTATTTTGCTATTTGGACTCTCTTGGTTTATAATCTTGCATTTCCAAACGGCATACGTGAGGCATGTTTCTGCTGCTCATATGTGGCAGCGCTAATTATTTCATTAATTATAACCTTCGCCGATTTTTTTCGGCTGAAAATACGAGTCAATCGTTTTAACTTTTGACAGCGACATTGTACCGGATGTTTATGAAATTGCGTTAATTCCACCACCTTACTATACATACGATGACATCCGATGATAGTCGGAACTACAGGAAGTTACCGTAAGACGTTGCAAAGCATTCATACGAAGTTAATTCCACCACCATACTATACATACGATAACAACCGATAATGGTCGGAACTACAGGAAGTTACCGGTAGACGCTTGCAAAGCATTCAGACGAAATTAAAAATAAGATAATCACTGAGTTTACTTTCGGTTACGTTTACGCGAAAGAAATGTTGCTCAATGCGTAACCTGAATTTTGTGTGCGTTTTCATATGCTCAAATTTTGTTTTGAATGCGTAAATGTGTTATTTCCATGCGTAATTTACGCGTATACGCATCTTATCTGGAGCCCTGAGAGGTCCATTAAAAACCTCTTCCCAAATAAATTTTCATTAAAATCATGCATTTACTAGCTTTTTACTTTCCCAAATTAGTTATTTTAGCAATTATTCTTCCCAAATCAAAGGGGTATTAGGCTTATTCCAAATTAAGAAATGAAAACCCTTGCAACTAGCAAAATCGTAAAACCATGATAAATAGATGCTTATAATGTTTGCAGGTTACTTTGAATTTTACAGCAAGTATTGCAATTAAAACTAATACAAAGGACATTTAAAAAAAAAATTAATCACATGCTATTCCATGAAACTAGTAAGTGTTTAAGACAACTAAATGAACAGCAGCATTACAAAAACTTCCCAGATTATTCTAAATGTTGCATAATATGATATCATAATTATTGTAAAAGGTGTCGTGTTAATGCAATAACTAATCTATCTATTCCATTATCAGCATGACAGCTATATTTATAGATTAGAAGCATTAAATATATTGATTAATTTGCATAATTAACTGAGGGGTAATCAGGACAGGTGAGGTAATAGTTTGTGAGTAATCCAGTCTGCACAAAAAAAAATTTATGGTCATAGACATTCAGGCTTTGTCCATCAAAATATCATATAGCCCAAACCAATTTTAACTGGCCCAAAAATTCTAACAAAAGTTGTGGCCAACTTACTTTAATCTGGAGAAAATAATGCAAAGTGATATCACTTGATTAACATTATTTCTGATATTCTTAGACAGGGAGTACAGTAGACTGTAACTCAAGAACTAAAGAGCGGAAAATTGTGTTGCGATGGTTTTTTTTTTTTTTTTTTTTTTAAGAAATATGTGGAAAATATATACTATGAAAGGAATGGGGTTGAATTTCAGCCCCAAATTGGCATTAAAAAGAGAACTGAATGCAGTGATTTTTAATATGTGTGCATAGAATAGAGGCTGAATATAGGCCACTCCCCAATTCACAAAACCGTCGGATATTCGCAATTTTATCATGAAAGTCACAAAAAATGTTGGTATTTTTTCCAATCAGCTCAACTATTAAATAGGGACATATGAATTTTTATGAAAAACACAATGAGCATGTTTATTATCATCTGAACAAAAAGTGGACACTTTTTATTCCCTATTTTCTATAGGGTATGGTTCTCAATTTGAAAGTGTGGACTGTTGTGGCAAATTATCAATCGTAATGAAAGTAACTGGCGCAGCAGATTTCTTCCTTTTATTTACGTATGGAGTATTTTCATAAGTCATGTGTCGTGTTTTATATATGAGCCGTGTCACGACAAAACCAACAAAAAACGCAGTCTGCTGTTCGCTATCAGTTTCTCTACTAGTTATAGAGTTGGTAAGCGAACAGCATGGATCCTGATCAGACTGCATGGATGCGCAGCCTGGTCTGGATCCCTGCTGGTCGCAAACCCATTATGTTGGTTTTGTCGTCAGGGCCAAAAAACCCTTCTTTGTAGAGGCCGAATATAGGCTGCTTCCCCAACCAAACTAGCCTCTTTTTTTCCCCAGTTTGATCCTCAAAATTCCCCAGTCTTTTTAAATTTCCCATAGAATTCAGAACAAAATTAAATGAAGGTGTTAAATTAAGGTCTTTTACTGCCTAATAAGTATTTCCCAGTGATTTTTGCTTTTCTATTTTGAAGAACTTGTTACGTCTAAGTTTGTGTTAAATTTGAGACTCCTTTTCCCAAAGTATGCCAAAATCATGCATATTTTCCCCAAGAAAAAGGCTGAGGCCCCTTCCCCAAAAATGGTGTTTTGGCCCTGGTCGTGAAACGGCTCATAATTTTGGTGCAAGATTTGGGTCGCGGAAATTGATGACAAAAATATTAGGCGGATACTGAATCAAATAAAATAGGTTACTGCGCTATTTATGAGATAAATCACAGATAAATGCTTTGTTATCAGGATGAATTATTTTACTAGTAGGCTATAAAGAGAAATTGAAATAGCATGAAATTACAGGTTTCGATCTAAATTATTTCTAATGCATTCCGTCTGCACGCTTTAGACAACTTCCGGTATCAGGACTAAAAGCTTTAACACTCGTCCTTGCCGATACGGAAAATAATATTTCATTTTCTATATCAGAGCAAGAAAACCCTATTTCCCTATTTCACAAGTACACAAGAATGTCGTCAGTTTTGAGTAAACATTTTTGAGTACACACATAGATCTCAACATTGTTGAAATTAGTTCCTGAAAATTTACTTAACATTAAACTTCATTGAAATTCTATATCGCACAACTACAAGCTACAGGGAAGGGCCCGTGATAATGTTATTAGAACTTTAAGCCCAACTCTTAATTTGTGTGATATTAGACCTGATAAGTATGCCTGTTTAATTGTACAATTTTATATTATATTGAACAAATATTAACAAACAAGCAAAGAATTATATAAAATAAGCTTGCATTCAGCGAGGTTCATAAAAGTCGTTGAAACATTTAGTTAACCTACTTCTTGAAATCATCATCATTGATTTTTAAAACAAAAACAACAATAAATTCCAAAGACAAAATGGCATCAATCTGACAGCATTGCTTCACAACCCAGTAATCTTGGCATTTTTATCATACATTTTATTTGAGCTCTTTTAATGAAGAAAACCAATATCCTGGTACCATGATAATATCGTCATAAAATTTTCTCAGAATTTCTGCACAAAATCGATCATAAAATAGCTATTACAATACAAATGAAATGGAAAATACATTGTAGCTGTAATTTTTGAACTGATAAAAAAAGTTTCCCATAATATCCATAGACATAAACACAAGAAAAAAGCCATTCAATGCTGTTTGACCAGGATCTGTTACCAGGATCTATGCTACTGGCGTCTCAGTTTTAAATGTAAATTTATATATAAATAAAAATCCCTGAAACAATGGACAATGGATAGTTTCAAGCTTTCCAGCTCATAACACAAATGTGTTGAGTAAAATTTAAATTTTTAAATTAAACAGGAACTACAATATTATGCGAAATGTTTGTGGTCAGTAAGCTGCACAACCAATAAACACAATCCGACTTATAATGTTTTGAATTGCCTATTACACTGTAATATATTATACAAGATATAAATGTAAGAATATATACATTGTATACTTATTAAGCACTTACTCCTTATTGCGATTAAAATATCTATTTAAGACAACTCTTCGGCGAATTTTCAGAAGACTGATGGTTCTATCTTTATACCAACTCTGACTTGAAAAAAATGCTTATATATTTAACCTACCTTGGCTCTTTCACGGCGTTAAAAAAGTTCTAGTGTGACTTAAAAAAACAACCAAATCAAGGAAAACCGAACACACACATATCTACATCTAAATGCAGTCATATCTTCAACAGGTGCAAGCGTGCGATTTCAAAATTATTTAATTGAACTAATTAGAGATTACATAGTACATCGAATTACATTCAAGTGATAAGACATCTGAAACTGGAATAAATCAAAATCAAGCAAAAAATGGCTTTCATTGACTGTCAAGACTCTTTCGGAAAATGAATGCAGATTCATTCGCAAAAAAAACAAAGTTTTTATTCGTTAAAGTAGACATTTTCTAAAGTGATGAAATTAAGAATGTATCACGATTTTTTTCAACAATATTACAATCATTACAATAGCAAACCAGCAAGTTTTTAAGTATCCAGGATTCATTCATAACCAAAGCTGCTTTGTTCAACCCTCAGTATAATAGTAATTGAAAAAGAGACTTTTTTTCAAAGCCATTAAAAAGCAAACGTCTTAATGTATCTCATAAAAAAGTAATTACATGTATTATAATTTAACTTTAAAAATCCTTATAGCTCAGTTTGAGACGTATCCCTTTTGTTTACAGACACTTACACGTATGGATCATGAACTTTCTTATTCATGACCTGAAATGAAATGTACGTTTAACCTGAAACATTCTTCAATATAAAACATATCTAAAATATTTCTTGGGAGACAACGTTAATCCGCATTTTTCTGATATTGTTTTAGAGGTTGTAAGGTAATCAAGCTTTGTTTCAGGAACTATTTTGTAAAGAGATAATCTTTCTTGAATTGACAAATTGTTTCTTAGTTTGGTTTAAACATATTTATTTAGGCTCGGTTGCGAAACATGCTCTTACAACTTATATTAATCACTTTCGAGTCCGCTTCCTGGAATCAACCAGTACTGGTGTCACATGAAGAAACATGGTCGTGACCCGATTATCGCTCGAACCCATGATCCCTGGGTTGAAAGGCAGACACTTTAACCACTAGGCCACCGCTCCCATGTTTCATAAGTCATAGACAGAGCAAAAAAAAGAAAAGAAAAAAAAGCAACAAACAATAACGACAACATAACCGTCATAAAGACAAACAAATAATGATGACGTCGGTTTATTTCATGATGCCTTATTGTTGACTAAAATATGCAAATTCAGTAAAGTTACACCAAGAACATTTGTTTTATAAACAAAGAAGTTTTCCTTACAGCAATGACACTCATATTACAAGATTTTACTCGAATTTCTCGCATACTTCATTATGTATATTATCAATAAGGTATATAAAATAAAATCTTATGTCAACTGAAGCATGCGATACCTTGTTATATTGACATGTCTTTATAATCTTCATACTGCCCTTTCCGTTCTTATCATTTCACTTATTACATGTCCCTTCCACCCTTTCACCGACCTTGTGCCCTCTCCCGTTTTGGGTTTCGGTGCCTACATGGTGCCCTGTTGGTGTTGCGCGGTTATATTGGAGACTGCGTTCTGTGAACGTCGCCTTGCCTTGTTGATCTGTCATATGTATTTATTGACAATGATACCTTATGTCTGTGTGTTGTATGAAGTGTGAAGTGTTTTAATATTGTTTTAATAAAAAAATAGTTAATGAGTAATTTTGAAAATTATAGTGCTTTTTGATGTGAGTTTGTCCCTTTATTCCTTATCGGTGGTTAATTTATCTGCTTTGCTGTTTTATTAAATAATATCTACTATATCACTAGATGTAGGATGTAAGCAAGCATGCAAAAAACATGAAGTTGGAGGGGCGTCCGTGGCCGAGTGGTTAAGGTCGTTGACTTCAAACCACTTGCCCCTCAACGCTGTGGGTTAAAATCCCGACAGGGACTTTGAATTCTTTCATGTGAGGAAACTATCCAGCTAACTTACGGAACGTCGGTGGTTCTACTTAGGTGCCCGTTCGTGTCTGAAATAATGCACGGAAGGGCACCTGATGTCATTTCGCGATATGACATATACTGTGTCGATGTGACGTAAAACCAAATCAATCAAACAAAACATGTAGTTGGACAAAGCAATGAAAAACTACAGTATAGCTTAAGACTAAAACATTTTCAAATATTATAGAGATGCTATGGACATAAATTATCGATGATAATTTTACATTGATTTTTTCATTGTTAAAATTCAAGCAGTCTTACAAAAGTAATTAATTTTGCTATCAAAATAACACTTTACAGATGAGATGATAAAGTCAAGTATCTATGTATGTAATAACCAAAATATTACCAAACAATTACGTTCCATGTCATTGTTACTTTGTACAAATTAAGTAGTTTTACAGATAAAGTTCAGAAGATAAGTTGAAAGAACAGAAAGCCCAGCATGATATGGAAAAAAAGAATATTTTAACAGGCTTATCTTTAGGTAAAAGTATCGCAATAACTAAGTTTTTTCTTTCTTGTTATTAAAGTAGTTTTATAGTCAAATTTCAGCATTGGTAGAGGAGAGCTTTATCCAGCTATAAAATAAAAAGAATAAAGCCATTCTGCAGAACGATGGCATATCGTTATGGTTACAACTAGTTATTGCCTCCCTCAGGAAAGCAGGAATCATTCTCTTTTAAGAAAAATAAGTATTTCTACAAGCTTGCAATAAGGGTAGGGGTTAGGAAACTATTGCAAAGGCTTGTTATTTAGTCTAAGTTTCATTCATAATGTGTTGTTATAAATGCTCTTTTCCTAAAATCAATAACAGAAAAGGAAATACAAGTATATATTGTTTAGATGGCAAGGCTGGATCTTTTTTATATAAACCATATAATATTACCTGCTCAATATATGTCATTAAATTATCACCTTTTTTGAATTTGGATTAGTCCATTCAAAATAAATGTGATTTTGATTTAGAATAAAAGACATATTGAATGGGATTTGGACATCAAATATACTGTCGAAACTCTATGCTTAAAATGTATACACTCGTATCTTGCTTTCTTAAAAATATGCTTATGACTGAAAATTATTGAGAGAAGCATACATTAATTAATGCAGTTTCCGATTATTTATGATTAGTAAATTCTTGTTGCAAGACACATACCGAATTGAATATTTTGCATAGCTAAGTATGAATTGAAAGCTTCAAATTGTAATATAATAAGAAATTAGAATAGTCAAATAATTAACTTTTGAACACAGGTTATTGTTATGCTAGTCATCTTGGCAATTTCATTCAACATTTTTTTCTATTTTCCCTATTTGAAACAAAGTGACACTGACTGGATCATTCTTAAATTTCCTTCAATTAAATATTGTTTTAATTTTCGAGTTACAAGCATCTCTAATGAAATTAAAATATGTAATCTGACTTTCCCCAGGCACAGCTGTTCGTAGAAAGACTTATTGACAAATGAAATGGAAAATTATCTCATATCAGGTACATATCTGTTCAAGTTATTGGAACTCTAGCAATATTCGTTTCAAATATATTTGGATCATACCAATCTAAAAGTGTACTTCAGTAATTTAAAACATTATTATTTTCTTAAACGAAATTTATTTGAATGGGTCAACAATTAAAACTGCTTACAGATCAGCTGATATAATTCATAAACAAATCAGCTGATATAATTCATAAACAGATCAGCTGATATAATTCATAAACAAATCAGCTGATACAATTCATATAAAGATCAGCTGATATAATTCATAATGAGAAAACAAACAAAACAAACATACCATTCAGTCTAAACTATTAAACACCACGAATATACATTTCAAATACAAAATTGTGTTCTTCAC